GTAAAATAGTTCCAATTCTTTTACAAAAACATTATAAACCTGATGGATGGCTTTTATTTCTTATTGGTCAATTACTGTATGTAGATTTTACTAAATATGTATTTCCGCAAGCAATTGAAATGTTATTCAAAGAACTTAAAGCCGAAGACATTCATGAAAGACCTCAAGTATCTGTTAGCTTCAAGAAAGATACGAACACTAAAAGTCTTAGTACATATGTATTATCACTGTCAACACCTTCACAAAATATTCGTGAATGGACACAAGAACAAGTACATGATTGGCTCATCAAACATAATCTCGTTCAAATGTCTCGTCTTCTGACGAATTATGATGGTCGAAGTTTGACTTATCTGCACAAGTATATAAAATATGGTCAGCCACAACAAATTTTAAATATGCTTCAAGAAGATTCAATTCGACGAACAAATCAATCTTTATCATTAGTAGAATTATCTCGTTTTCATTCTTTAATGGATCAACAAAAACGACTCTTGCAATCAACTTTTTCTGGGCGACAAACAAGAAAGAATATAAGCAATGATAAAAACAACTCTTAGTTATATTATTGAAGAATAATATTATGTATATAATACGCTTCGTAGAACTAAACCACTTTTCTCCGTGAGATAGTAAAAAGAAGCTTGTTAGTACAGCCTCTTTGGGGCTGGACATGCGGAACTGACATGTCGTATTTAGCTTCAATATATTAATACAAAATATTCAATGTTTAAAAGGCGGATGGTCCTCTTCCAATGATAATCGAGTGTTAAAAAACGCTATGTTTTTTTATTTCTACATTCTCAACAAAAATGTTGTCTTCTTTTTTTTTTGTCTTGTCACAATTCGCTTGGTGTTTTTTTCATAAAATTATTATTAGGCTAACTATTGATTTAATAGATAAAAAAGGCTATTTTTCACATTTCATATATCTACAGTAGAGATTATGTTTTTTGTATGGGTCATATTACAATTGTCGAAAATCAAAATATCCTCCATGATATCTATCACACAACCGTTTATTTGCGTAAAAATCACAAACTCTGTTATATTAAATTTGCAAAAATTTATTTCAGTCATTTAAATGTCAACGAAGTTTCTGGAATGTTCTAAAATCTTCTAAGTCTTATGATTAATCCAAAGGGCGAATGCTGCATAAAAGACAAAATCAAAGTACATTCTCAAGTATTGCAGCTATCAACAAAAGAATAGTCTATCGGGTCATACGACAACATACAAATCCCTACAACATAATATATTAGACAAAAAAAACAATTAAAGATAATGTTGATCAACTTATTCAAATACTTTGAACATCTTTTGTACCCAATAAAATTCTCCTTTAGATAAATCTTATTTTCCAATAAGAAACTAGCGAATCATTATTGCCAGATTATTATTCGATTATTCAGTTGAAGACTTACTCTAGAACATTGAACATGGAAATTTTTTAGTCAAAATTCTGATCAACGAGACTACTAAGAATTGTCACTAACATAAAAACTATCATTCAGTCCATAGAACGTAATTATTTTAAGAATAAACAATTTCAATTTTATCTAATTTAACTTTGGCATGCATAAACAGCAGAATTCGTATTTACAGGTACAACGATATTCTGTGTGGAATAGATAACTATTGGCTCGTATTGCGCATATTATTTGCATTCAGCAACGTCGAGGGTTTATTTTTCAAAGGTTGTCTGTGAAACCCGTTTTAAATCTTTTTATCAAACGGAAGAGATTAGGCTGAAGGCAGAGACCTAGCCTATGGTGAGGGTTAGAACTACTACAGTCAAAGTGTAGTATATGTGCTATTATTAAATCTACTGGATGAAATAAATCTCCGTCACGCTTCATTACATTGATGCATAAACACTTGGTGAAATTTATAGTTTTTTCCACATGACAAAGCGAATGTAAGATTTATACGAGACCTATCTCTATTTTAAAGCATCTATACGTATTCTATAGTATATTATTCTTTTTATTTGATAGTTATTACTTAGCAATACATAAATTATGGACCTATTTCAATATTGACATTAGTTCTCTTTTCTTCGTACGAATAGATTAATGAAAAAGAGATTGTGGCAATAAATATTTTTTCGGCAGTTGAATCACAAGAAGTTATACGTCAATAATATTCAATCTACTGTCAACTGTAAGTGAAATCTGAGAGCAAATAAAAGTTTAGTACATAAATAGACCTTGAAATTTAATTACGAAAACTTCATTCATAAATAAATGGATTACTGACACCATAGTAATTTACAAAAATTCATAAGTTAAGCAAGATATTTATTGAATAATGAATGATAACTTTGAACAACTTGTCAATGCACTTTCCATAACTCCTTTGTCAATTGATATTCTTTCAAAACTTACACTTCTCATCGAACAGCAAACTTTCGAATCTGATCCGTTGTTTATTTCTCAATCGATACAATCATTACTCGTTCTAGAAAACTGGGCATGGCAACGGCTCAGCTATGATTCTCATCAGTGGATCAGTCAATCGAGTTATTTAACTTTATTTCATACACTTTCATCATTTAATAAAAATCTAATTATCAATTTCGATAATATTGAAGTAGAAACAAAAGCATTACTCCTTATTTCTTGTACAGTAGATCAAGTTAATAGTATATTTGAAGGAATTAATCAAAGTAATGACGATAATGATCGATTTATTGCCATAATTAGTGTTTGGTTTGATAATTTAGCATTTTTCATTAATGAAGATCCTCGGTTTGACACATCACCTATTATTTATCATATCAATCAATATGTTGGACGCAACTATGTTATGACTGATCAATTCAAATTTTATTTAACTCAACTTCAACAACAATCAAACTTACCAAAATCAATATTTACTACTAAACAATTATTTTATATAAAAACATTTTCATTATCTTTAACTTCATAGCTGCCAAAGCTCAAAATTTTCTTTTTACTGCTGAAGAGATATTACATCATGTTGGCAATCAGTATTTACAAATAATTAATATTCAAAGTCATACAATGGAATCATGGAGTGACGAACTACTTATTTGTATTACTTATCTTACGGCTTTTATTTGTGGACGTTGTTGGTGGGGTGGAGAAAAAACAACACACGTAAAAGTACTCTTTTCCACTGAACAAATATCTTGCGATTTTGTACAAGGACTTATACGTATAATTAGTTATCAACCATTTTATGAAGTAATTAAAAGTGAACAATCGAGTAATGTATTAATTTTAATTGATGTCATTTTAAAATTTTTATTATTTATATTACAAACACAAAATATGATTTGTTTTTTTCGTTCAAATATATTATTACCCGATATACTTTTGATCACTGCTGAAAATTCATCGTGTGACAAACTCTCTTTATAGGCATATGCTGTTTTAAGTGAAGTTTTAACTGATGAAAAATTAAAAGAATTAAAAGTTACTAACAGCATCTGCAATTTTCTCTTTGATATACTTGAACAAGGATGGTATACTCCATTGAAAAAATATAAACAAATGCCATTTATAAATTTATTAAGAAGTGAATCTTTTGTAAATATTTATTTGATAAAAGTTGAATTCTCATATTTCCTAGGCTTTTCGACTCTATCAATGAGCAGTACTATTCAACAAAAAGTTGCTGATGGATATAAATTATCACTTTTTATTGAAATGTGTGATAAATATCCAATTGTATATGATATTATATGGGCGCTTTCATTTAATCAAGATATTCAACAACAACTTCGTTCTAATTCAGCATTTATGTCTAAATTAACTCATCTAGCCAAAGAAAGTAAAAATGACCAAATGAAAAAAAATATACATGGAATTCTTTGGAATCTTGAATTAAATCGTGAAATTTGTTCAACAATAGTAATTAAAGATGAAGAAATATTTGATATTATGATTAGTTATTCACATGAAGAAAAAGTTCTTTGTAAACAAATCTATGATGAATTGATTAAATATGGTTATCGTATATGGATTGATTTTGATCAAATGCATGGAAATGTTATGGATGCAATGGCACAAGCTATTGAACAATCACATATAATAATTATTTGTATGAGTGAACAATATCGAAAAAGTAATTATTGTCGTGCTGAAGCACATTATGCATTTCAACAGCAACGTAAAATAGTTCCAATTCTTTTACAAAAACATTATAAACCTGATGGA